GCTATGCAGTTCTGGCTGGCCTTTAACTCACTCTGTAGCCCAGGCTGGTCTAAATCTTGCAAGGATCCTCCTGCCTCAGCCTCCCAAGTGCTGGGGTTACAGGAGTGTACCACCATGCCTGGCTCAGTGAATTTATGCTCTGAACAAAATGTCTTTCACAAAAGTTTCCTTGTAAGTTAAAATGGCAGTTTTTTCCAGTCATTATGTTGACATTAAATCTTATCCGTTTCTGTGGAGGCTTGTGTTTTCTATTATTCGTCAAAAAACATTGTTTTCCTTCAAATTATTTTTTTCACACCTTTGATAAAAGAGAAGTGAAATTCGGCAATGTGTTTTTAGAATATTCATGAATGGTCTCTAGAGAGTTATAAGAGATATAAATAAATATGTATCTAGAAGATGTTTCTTTACGGTTGTTTTTTGAGACAAGGTCCTACTATGCAGTTCAGGTTGGCCTGGAAATCATTATGTAGTCCAGGCTGGCCTTGAACTCTCTGAGATTCTCCTGCCTCAGACTCCTGAATACTAGAATTATAGGTGTGCACCACCACGACTGGCTAGAAGACATTTCTTGTTGTGGGTTTTTGAAACAATTTCACTGTCCAAACAGAGGAGCACAATTTAACAAATGATGGCAAACGCATTTCACCCAATATTATACAGCTATTAAAACCAATGATATGAGAAAATGAATACATTTAGTGTAAAAAAAAAATGTGGGGCACTACATTATACACTGAATTAATCCTAATTTTGTAAAACTAAAAGTATGAGCATATACACAGAAAAACTAAATGGTAGCAACTTAAATTATCTATTTCCTCACTAAGGGGTTAATTAGAGATGCCTTTATTTCCTCCCTTATATTCTTTTTTGACGATAAAGATATCTTACATTGAAAGCTAGACGAAGGGAGAATTTATGTTGGTTCACAGACACGTTCCCTGCTCCCCACAGAGACCCGGGGACGAGACCCGCGCGGTCCCCCCGCCCCGACTGCCCCCCGCCGCCGGCACTCACCCTCGCCCACCATGGTCACGCCGATGGACATGCCCAGGAACTTGCTCCTGGTCCACACGTGCGCGTTCACGCACATCCTCCTCTCCGCACACTCGGCGTAGAAGCCGGACACGGGCGGGTGGTGGGACACCTGCTCGGCCACGAAGCGGACGGTGTAGCAGTCGGTGGGCTCCTCGGGCGGAGGGGCGCCTGGCTGGGCAGCGGGGCTGCTCTTGGGCACCTGCCAGGAGCAGTGGAATGTCTCCCCGAGGATGGGGTTGTAGGGCTTCTTGGCGATGGCGCCCTTCCGGCCTTCGTGGAACGAGGTGAGGTAGTACTCGACGAAGCGGATCATCCTGTCCTCGGCCGAGGCGCCGCTTGTGATGGCTATGAACAGGTCGGGATGCGACATGAAGTCCGCATACATCTCCAGCAGGGAGCGCTTCTCCAGGATGAACGTGGGGAGCACCACCTAGGAGGAGACCATAGGAGGCAGGTCGAGGCCATCCATGGGGCGCCACAGGTCACGCGCACCACACACCGCACCACGCTGAAAGCACCGCATTCTAGGTGGGGATTTTAAAACGCCCTCCTGTCATCTCAGCACTGGGAGGCTGAGGCAGGAGGATTGCTGATTTAAAGGCCAGCGTGGGCTACAAAGTGAGTTCAAGGCCAGGCTAAACACCATGTGCCCCTCAAAAAAGCGAGAGAGCAACAAAGAAATAAAGTTTTTGCTCCTGACAGAAAATAAACACGCACAAAAGGAAAAGAGAACTTGCTTATGTTTAAAAGCAAATTCAGGACACCCAGAGGATCAGAAAGAGCAGCAGAAGCTTCAAGCTTCCACACTAAACACAAGTACCATGAGGAAAACAGCACTGAGGTCCGGAGCAAACGCGAGCCGAAGGAGCGCCATCTCTCATCCTACCTTAGAGAATAAGCTGCGGGGGACGGAGCACACTACCAGAAGAAACGCTTAAGAAACGCTTTTCCTGGGAATAGAGAAAAAACTAACTTCCAGCTCGTGTTAGGCGCAAGAGAACTACTTCTAAGAAGAGAACTTTTGACACCAATAGCTGGGTAAGAGAAAATATTGTGAAGCAGAATTGGAGGCCCTGCAAAACAGTTCCCCGCTTTGAAACCGGAAACGGGCAGTATCTTTCAAGAGCCCTCAGATGTTCAGAGTCAGCTTGGTAAGTGCTCTCCAGGAGTCCAGCCACGGAAAGAGTCAGTGTGAACAGAGAAAAGGAGTGTGAAACAGTGAGTAACACAACTCACACTTCAGTGGGGCACGGTGGTGCATGCCTGCGTTAGCCCTCAGGAGGCTGAGGCAGGAGGAGAACGAGTTCAAGGCCAGCCTGTGCTACACAATGAGATCGGTCACCAGAAAAGAATCTACGAGCGTCACAATGGAAAAAACCCACAAAGAGCCTACAGTGGATAAGAAGAAACCTGTATCAAGATATGTTACTACACCAAGATACGACAGAGAGTTCCTAATAGTTTTAGAGAGAGAAGCAACCAGAATGATTTCAGTCTTCTCAGCAGAACTCTGGAGCAAGGAGCAATACCCTGCAGGAAAACTACTGACGCGTTCTAAGCAAACCAGCAATCCAACCTGAGGGCCGGACAGGAGTTTCAGACGCACGTTTGCTCCCGCAGGCCCTCACACGTTTTCTCACGCGGCGAGACAACCAGGAAAGCATGGGGCCGGTGCGGAGCGCCGGAAGGGCCCTAGTGCAGGTGAGAACGACGTGACTGGTGAACAGCTCCCATGAGTGAGCCCCACGAGCCCAGGACGGTCAGCAGCGGGAGGAGCCGTGACGTCTCCGGGGCAGGAGCCATGCTCTCCGGAGGCCGTGAGGCTAAGGGCAACTGTGTGACTCTACGAAGCCCACACCAACTCCACCGTGGGGCTGAAGGCCCTGTACGACTCCATGCTGGTCCCGCCGCTCCAGAGACCGGCCAGCACAGCCGCAGGGCCCCGCCTGCGCTGCATGGAGGTCTGGCTCCCGCACAGCATCTGCTGAGGACGCGCGGCGCCACCCGGTGCATTCCGGCTTCCGTCTCTCAGGGAGGAAGCCTAGGACGCCCAGCCACGCTCCCATCAGACGACACCCGGCCCCACCTACACTTGAAAAACCTGTTTCCCGGCCTCTGCCACCTTCCTCTCTAAACCCTGGGGAAGCTTTAGCAGGAGGCAAGGCCGGGACCAGACCTCAGCGTCCTTTCCTTGTGCGGCCCCGCCTGTGAGAGCGCAGCCGCCCCTCCAGCCCGCCACCGAGCCTGCACTGCTGCTCACTTCTTCCTGCCCTCCATCGCAAGCGTACGGGCACACACGCAAGGGGAACACTGCTAAGGAAGAGGGTGACAAACATCCGTTACATGGGCTTGAACATTCACGATTTGGGCTTGGTTAATAGAACACGCAGTTTTTCACTGACAAGGCACGAATGGAGGGGAAGGGTATGCACAGTCATCTGTGTGAGACAGGGCTTCCCTGTCCGGATCCTAGAATGTTCTCTTCAATGTGCTTTTGCCTCGTCAGCCTCAAAGCCATTTTCATGCCTCGCAGACTAAGCCTAGGACACGGAACTCCGTCCCAGCTCCTCCAAGCAACCCCATGCAGGAGCAGTCCGCCTCCAGCCAATTCCGCAGCGAACAAAGGTCTTCTGGAACAAACACCTCTTGAACAGGAGGACGCCCAGCTGAAGGACTGGGTTAAATGAAAGAGTAATGACTCTTCTTATTAACTCCTAAAATGTCTGCTTCTTAGACCTTCAATGCAATTTATTCTCTTTCAGAATCTCCCATTGGCCAGGAATGGTGGTGCACACTTGCAATCCCAGCACCTGGGGCTGAGGCAGGACTGTCGTGACTGTAGCGCCAGTCTGGCCAATATAGGTACATCTTGTCTAAAAAAAATTAAAAAAAGAAAAACTCCAAACCAGAAAAACCCCAATAAATCCCTCCTGTTAAGCACAGTAAGTACAGGTAAGGAAAAAAATAAAATGACTTGACTCTTTTTTTTTGTTCTTTTGAGACAAGGTCTGATTACTCTGTAGTGCAGACTGGCCTTGAACTCATAGTGACATTCCTGCTTCAGCCTCCTGAGTGCTGGGATTACAGGGACACACTACAGTAAGTCTCCAACCTATGAACATTCAAGTTACAAACTTTTTCTTTGAGTTATAAACTTTCATAGGTGTACCATATAAACTCATTTTGGCCTGTAATCCCAGCACTTGGGAGGCTGAGCCAGGAGAATTGATGCACATTCGAGACCAGCCTGGGCTACAGAGTGAGCTCAAGACCAGCCTGAACTGCACAGTGAGATCCTGTCTCAGAAAAGACAAAAAACAGAACAAAACACATACTCACTTTGTTGGCTTACGGAGGAATCCAGTTTAGGAACAATTTTCCCAGAATCGAACTTGTTTATATGTACCTTGGTTCCGATTTGAAATTTATTTTTCATTAAGTCCATATTTGCAGCACATAATGATTACATTCATGGTGAAGAGTACATGTACATGTACCTAACATGCACCTAAGCATGGTACACGTATCTAACACATCTTAATTCTTTTTGTTCCCTCTCGTCCCCTCCCTTCCCCTCCCTTGTATCTCTTCCTGTTTTGGATCTTTAAGTGACTTTTAAGTGGTGAATCCTAACTGCAAACTGCTTTGTACGTAAGCAGGATTTTCAGGGAACAACTCACTGGAAACAATGCCACACTCTCACTACCTTCGGGGGCACAGAGACCCCATCTGAAACAGCCCACAGATGTCCTTTATAATTCCACACTAACACAAAATGCTAGCAGCAACAAAAGTAATCCCACAGTCATCAAAATCTGACACATACAGGCTCAGAGGCTGATTAGCTTTTCAAACCGCTGTCATGAACTAGCTGCTGAAACCAGTGAAGGGATCAGAGAAGACCGGCCTAACGCCAAACCACCGAGGAGACCTTCTGGCCGGGGGCTGATTAAAATGCCGCTCTGGTCTATTAAATCCGCGACTGCTGACCAGGATTTTGCCTTTGACACGTTTTAGAGGCGATGACCACGTGACTGGGCCACAGCTTACACTTAGAAGGTAGCGAGACCCTGGACTCCAGGCCTCCAGACTGTAGCGTTGAGGCCAAACCTAGCCTCCCCTGTCTGTCCCGTGGTGCTGGGGCCTGAAGCCAAGGCACGGTACACACTAAGCACGGGTTCTACCACAGCTGTGTCCTCCCGGCTCCTGGTCTCCGCTCTGTGGTACTGAAGACTGACACCACGGCCTTGCACACACCCGACAAGCACTCTACCATTAAGTTACATCCCCAAGCCTTTTAAAAAATTTTATTTTGAGACAAGGTCTTGCTAATTTGCTTTGATTTTGAGAGCTTGCTGCCTCGGCCTCTGGAGTAGTTGGGATTACAGGTGTGCACCGTCAGCTTTGCTTTTGTAAAATTTAGCTCAAGCACAGTCACGACCATCTAGCATATCCTGTGTGCAGAAGTGAGTAGGTGCTACACAGATCTATGCCACGTTGCTAAACACGTTACCTGGCCCTTTCCAGAGCAAGTCAGGATATCTCCCCAACATGCTGTCCCTATGCGGGCATTCAGAGTAACTCTGATCAACGCTCTGTGCGCTTTGCAGGATTATATCCTCCTCCTCAGACTACACCAATACATTAATGGGCAGAAACAGGAAGACTGCAGGTCTTTATCTGCCATGAGATTCCCTGCTATGCAAGAAAATAGATTTCTTATAAAAATAGGAAGTATGAGGCCCAGATTCAACCCCCACTATTGGGGAAGGAGGGGATCCATTAGGATATCAAACTAGGTATTATAGTTCATGCCTGTAATCCCAGCCACTCAGGAGGCTGAGGCAGGAGGATCAGAAGTTCAAGGCCAGCCTGTGTATCTTAGTGAGACTATCTCAAAATAATCTTTTTGTTTGTTCTTTTGAGACAGTCTTGCTACGTATTCCAGGCTGGCCTTGAACTCATGGTGTAGGCCAGGCTGGTCTAAAACGTAGTGATCTTCCTGCCTCAGTAGCTAGAGTGCTGGGCTACCACACTTGGCTCAAAATAAACTTTTAGTGTTCAGGAATTAGCCCAGGGCTAGAGCACTCGCTGAGCATTTAACAAGGCCCCAGTAACACCAAAAGATGAGGGAGGAAGAGGGAGAAACTCAGAGGTGAACGGGGAAGCCTGACCCCATGTACAACCCCAGTGTGGCCCTGACGAAGGACGGTCCCCAGGGCCAGCCTGGCCCGCACGTACCCGCGTCAGGTCCATGCCCAGCTTGAGCTGGGACAGGAGGTGCAGGATGACGCTGCGCTGCTCCTCCACGGCCCCCAGGTCGTCCTCCTTGTGGTCACAGGTGTCCTCCACTTCCTCCTCCGCCTTTATGTCCTCAGGCTCCTGACAACAGGAAGAGGCCTCGCTTGTAAGTGCATATTAACACTCATGAAGATAAAAGGTTTCCGACTCGAAGACACTGACACTGGGCCCAAATGCAGCGGAGTACCGGCCAAACCCTTCCTGAAAACATCGCTCCCACCACTGCCAGACGGGATACACTTCCCTCAAAGAGCCCATTATTTCTGATATTGAAAATACTGTGGATTTGCCATCCGTACGACATATAAGACACGTTTATTGTATAGAAACGTTACTTTTCAAAAAGCGGGAAGAAAGTTTCATCTGAATTCCAAGATCTGACCACCGCAGGGGACATGACCACTGCCTCCAGCGGCAGAGTTCTAAGAATGGGAATTCGCCTCTTTTTAAGCTACCATAAGATGAAGAATCTAGAAGTGCCCGCATGCACGTCAAGGCGAACCCCGGTAAACCGCACTCTACACTCTTTGTTTTGATGGGGACTGGCCCAGGCCGCGTGCACGGCGGCAAGGGCTGCGCACAGAGCTGCCTTGGCATGTGCGCGAACCAGCCCTAGGCTGTGCACAAAACCCTGTGGTCGTTCCCACGCAGCTGGACGCAGCACAGCTCTCTGCCCAGCTCCTTCATCACCCAGACTATCATAAAACCAGCCCTGGAGAAGCTGACGATGTGCTTCTCATCTCAGCAGGCTCTGAGTGACTGAGTTAGAGACAATTTCTTATTTTTTCTATTTAAACAAACAGCAGGGCCAGGGATATAGCTCAGTGGCACAAGTGCCTGCCTGGCAAGTGCAAGGTCCTGAGTTTGATTCCTGGTACATACATACATACATACATACATACATAAATAAACAAACGAATAGCAGTTTTGGATCCTACAAAACCCATCAGCTGTTACCATCCAGGTCTTCATGGGCAAGGTGTCCCTTCTCTCAGGGGACACTTGTCAGCATCTCTGAGTAAGACAGTTTCATGGGGATGTTGTTATGCCTTGTGTCTAGATGTCCCCCCAAAGCCTGATGAGGTCACAGGCCGGCTTTTCGGAGGTGGCTGAACCTAGGATGTGCGCTGCTGGGATCAAGGATGTGATGCTGGGATTGATTCACGGTAGGATGCTAGGACTAAGGCTGCCGTACGTTGGGTGTGAGTGCTACCCAGCCTAGGGGTGAGTAGCCTGCATAGGAGACAAGGGACAGAAAGACGCTCACTGCTTGTTGTCTGTCATTCGCTGTCTTTGGCCCACCATGGCCTGTTTCTCCTCTGCGATGCCCCTCTGCCACGTCCCCCTGCCTCGGAGCCAGCCGACTATGGACTAAACCTCTACAAACTGTGAGCCAAATAAACCTTTCCTCCTTTGACTCTGGGCATTGGGTATCTTGTCTCAGCAGTCAAAAAAGTAACTAAGGCAGGTGTCATCTTTTTTTATTTCATTAGATCTTAAGTAATGCGGATTTCTAAAAGGAAATGATCTTGCTAAAGTCTCTGCTTGGTTTTCCCCTTCTATTAGCAAACAAGAAACCCATCTGTTCTATGCACCTAGACATGGAAAACCGATCCTACCCAGACACAAAATCAATAACTTAATACCCTCAAAACGCTAACAACAAAATGTAACGCACAGTGACAGAGTGGAGGGGTAATCAGTTTCTGACCATTCTCTTGTCTTCAGCTTTCTCCTTTTCTAGTACCTTTCTATCAAGGAGTCTGTATCAACATACGTTCTTTCGCATTTTTGAGACAGAGTCTCGCTATGCAGTTCAGGCTGGCCTTGAGCTCACTTTGTAGCCCAGGCTGGCCTCCAACTTGCAACCATCCTCTTGCCTCAGCCTCCCGAGTGCTGGGATTACATGCGTACGCTACCACACCCGGCTTATCAACATATACTCTGATAAATCAACTAACAGTGAAATTTATTTTTTTATATTTGGATCACACAGGCCAGGGGGAGTGGTGGTGTACACCTGTAACCCCTTAGGAGGCAGAGGGAGGAGGATGACAAGTTTATGGCCAGCTGCGCAACCTAGCAAGACCGTGTCTCTAAACAAGAAAAGGCTGGGAATATAGCTCAGTGGTACACTGTGTGAGGCCCTGGTTCAATTTCCTGAATGCAAAACAAAACCACCCCCTGACAAACAAACAAAACCCCGCACAGACAATCACTGCTTGCATGTACCAGAACTACTTCTGAGTTCATGACCTCAAGGAGATCCCAAAGGCTTTCTGAGCTCTTCTCGATGGCTAGCGTGTCAGGAGCATTTCCTGCAATGTGCCTACATCAGGTGTGCAGTATCGTGAAGTAGACTTAAAACGTGGACCTGCGGTGACTGGGAGGAAAGCTCATCCTCTTCCTCACTACACACGCACGCCAAGTATTATGTGAGCTCACACAACTATGCGAGACCCCAGGAGAAGAAACCCTGCTAGGTCTGCAGTAAATGCTCTTCTCCAAGCCTCTGAAAAGGTAACATGACATCTAAGGTTAGAACCTAGGCCACGGATGAACAATGCAAATACAACTTTGGGGGCTGGGGTGCAGCTTAGGGGTACGAGCATCCTAAGAATGAGCACAGCCTGGGACACTTAGCAGACCCCGTCTCAAAATAAGAAGGGCTGCAGCTGGGCGTGGCGGTGCGTATTTGTAATCCCCGCACTCTAAGAGGCTGAAGCTGGAGGATCACTAGTTCAAACCTTTTCTGCCCAACACAGTGAGACCCTGTCTCAAAATAAAAGGGCCAGGTATAGCTCAGGGCAAAGGCCCTGCGTTCAATCCTCTCAGCACCACAAGAAAAATGAAAAAGCCCCATCTTTTCAACCTTGCAAAAACCTAGCCTGCAGACAGCACAAGTCTATCTTGTCATTTAGGCCCCAACACCTGGAGTTTTCTTTGATCCAACCCTTACACCCAATCTCAAGTCCCAATGACTTTTCACTTGAAATGTACATCAGCTACTCTTGAGTCTCTGTTTCTTCTTCCTTAGTACCACACACCAATCTTAGCACACCCATTATTCCCAATGCACCACAGAAAAATACTTATGAGAGTATCAAGTAAAATGTCTTAAAATTGTCTATGCAACTATGGCGGCAAAAGTAACAAATTGTGAACACAAAGGTCGAAAAATTAATATGATTTGTACATTGGTAGTTGTAATAAACACTCTTTAGTTTCTCAAAAACGTGAAATGTAGGTGGGCACGGTGGCACACACCTGTCATCCCAGCACTCGGGAGGCTGAGGCAGGAGGATCACTGCAAGTTTGAGGCCAGCCTGGGCTACACAGTGAGATCAAGGCTAGCCTGAACTGAAATGCACAGCAAGACCCTGTCTCAAAAAACAAACCAAAAGAAATGTAAAATGTATAATATTTTATAAAAATATTAACCCCTGTGAATACGTGCTATTTTAAGTAGGGTAATACTGTATTTAAAACAGCTAGTTTGGTAAAAGCCTAGCACAATGGTAAATGTTTCAGCTTGTAGATATGACAGTAAACATACAGAAAACACTATTAAGATAATGGAGTAAGAAATATGAGAAATACTGTGCAGAAATCCTGATAGGTAGTTCTTGGCTAGGAAAAAGGGAAAAGGAAAACATGCAAACTTCAGTTTTTCAAATTACATGTTCATCCAGAAGAAGTAACCAACCCGACAAGGGGCTGGAGATTTCACCTGGACAGTACATGTTCACGTTTTATACAAGCGCGGTCTGTCCAAAGCAAATGCAATTTAGAGTGGAACAGGGCTAGACTCGGTGGGCGCTGCTGGTATTGACTCAGATGCCCTCATAGCGAAAAGAAAACCGGCCCTTTGTAGCCCTGATTTTACACCCACACCGCATTTGCACAGTCTCTTACCCTCGTCCTGGGCCCAGACTCCGCAGCCGACCGCTCCTCGGGGACCACGGCTTTATCCTGCTCCGTGGAGAAGGGCTGCTCGGCTCCATTTTTGTAATGGTTTGAGAGAGGGATCTTTGGTTCTAACCACTCGATTGTCGTTCCTGATGAGGGAAGAGAAAACTCTTGCTGAAATGTGCTCATAATCTGGAAAGTTCAGGAGATGTGGATTATATTTAAGCAATTTAGTGTTAGGTTTACACGACTAATTCAACTTGTCAAAGGACCCTGAAGGGTGCCTGTGGATCTCATTAGCATGAGCACCGCGATTGGGTATTTTACCACAGAGCAACTTGCAAGCTGAAATCAGATCCTGTTTAAAAGAAACCAACCCTGAGCAGGACTGAATTCACTTCTCCGCACGTCTGCATCCCGAGGTCAGTTCCCAGCCAGCCCATTTCTCTAACACAAAGCATGCACTTCGGCTAAGTCAGGACGTCCAGCGACAAGAGGAGCCTGGACTGTGAAATGGTACCACGTCCTTCGGTTTGAGACTGAACCTCATTTCCAGCAGTGGTTTGCTAACCAGAACCACCTGGATCTAATTTAAGAACTGCAGGTGCATATCCTCCTCCGCTTTTTCAGTCCTAAGAAAGCCCCACGTAACTTTCAAACTGAAAGGCCGTGCTCCTGAATAAGTAATGGCTGACCTAGTGAGAGACAGTGGCCACATTTAGAGACTTGTCATCTTCTCCATGAGTGACTCAGTGGTCTCCTGTTACTCTTAACTAGTTAACAAAGTGGATTCTATGCCTAATCAATAATGGAAAATGTTCCATTCGATTTCAGAGGCTGATCTAGGCTTCACAGAAGCTGGGCTATTGAGTGCTATAATAAAGATGCTCTGGCTACTATGGCAGGAATTGGCGAGAGCAAGCAGTTTCCTCCCATTTCAGCAGATGAGGAAATCCCACAGCTCCCACCAGGCCACGGACACCTTGCCGGGTTCAGTCTTTCGGCCCATTTCCAACCAACTCAGGTTCACGCGCCAGAGCCGGGCCCTGTCTCTCTGGAAGCCTCCTCGCTCATCTACTCGTCACTCCTGAACTAAATGGTTTTCAGAAGCATTCGTTCCCTTGTCTGTTCTCCACACTTTGTTCCTATGGTTAGCACCACTTTCTATGTTATTTTATGGATTCTCCTCACATGCTTCTTTCTCTACTGGAACTGGGCTATGACATGGTGTTTTGTTTTCTGGTGGTGGTACTGGGGATCAAACCTACCATCCCGCAGGACTAAGAGTTCTTTCAGCGGGATTCACACCTTATTTGACTCTCTAGTAGAGCCCTGGCCTCTACCTACAATCGCCATTGGAACAGTCTATTAGGTAGAAATGAAGAATTTAGGCACAGGAGAGGACGGAGTACATACTATGTCCACGTGACCTCGATGACACTTCTTCCCAGGGAAGGACACCTGCTGACTTTCTAAACGTTTCTTTCATAAGTAAGGGAAGTGAAAAAAGAGAACAAGGACTAGTTGCGAAATACTAAGTGAACACTTAACAGGCAGGACAAGTTTACTGCTCTCCTTCTAGAAGGCTTATCTGTACTCCCACTCCCACACCTTCTCTCCCGTAACTTCCAGTAAACACATGGTCAAATGCTAGATGTACTGAGAGCTATGTGATAGACCTGTATAAAAAACTAAACGATCAGTAGTGGACTGAACCAAAACTCAAGAGATGAACCCAACGTTTCCACTTTGGTTAACTGGGTGGACAACTGCACCATGACTTCATCAATTTTAACAGAAATACGGGAGAGTTACAGGGTTTAGTTCAGCTTTTATCCTGTGGAGTTCTGAGGTCTCTGGAGAATACCACAGGATGTTAGACATCAGGCATGAAATCATTTCAAACTCAATAAAGAGCACTCTTAGGAAGAATTTGTTTAACAGTGTGATAATTAAAACTAGAGGCTCACTGTTGCTTTCCTAAAGATTTTCCAGGGTTAGAACATCAGACGCGTTCTTTCCCCTTTTGGTCCTCCGTGCAGCATCTACCTTCGGTGGGCAGCCTACCTGCAGGCAGTGAGCCCTTCTGGTGGGACGCGTGCTGCAGTTGCAGGATGTGGAAGCAGTCATTCAAGCAGTTCATCGTGGCCATAGACGTTGCTTTGAGCATCAGGAGGTCTTGGTCTAGGGAGCTGAGAAGGCCGGAGGCGGGAAGGCATTCAATCCGTCTGATCAAGTCTCTCTGCTGTCCTTCAGCATGAGACATCATCTAAGGAAGACAACAGCTCTGTGGGTCCCTGTCCTCATTTCTTTCTTTCTTTTTTTTTTTTGAGACAGGATCTCACTAAGTAGTTCAGGCTGGCCTTGAGCTCACTATGTAGCCCAGTGATAGAGCACTTGCCTAGCATGTTCAAAGCACTGGGTCCCATCGCCAGTACTGCTAACCTAACCAACTAACGAACGAACGAACGAACGAACGAACGAACGCCAAATAAAGTAAATTCTCAAGCCAGTTGCTCTTAATCACTTTCACCTCAGACCGCTGGTCAGGCGTACTCTGAAGCTCTGCTGAGCACACAATGGCTAACCTGGCCCTTCCTTCCTGACCTTTCTGGTCCTGTCAAGCTGGATTTGCTACCAGCCCTGGGCATGAGCTTTCAGGCTAAGAGAATGTAATACATTGTGCTGTGCTTTCCTAACAGAGCCAATGCAATATTGATGATGAATGAGAAACCCAATTTTTTTCAGATGGAAAGTGAATTTATGATGCTTACTTCCAGTTGCAAGCAAAAGGTCCTGAGATTCCCCACTAATGTTAGAAGAGAAGAGATTTAAGCAAGTAGTACTCTTGTGGTTAGAAAAAAATAAACTTTAAAAACTGTCAAAACCTGGCAACAGCACTCCCCAAATTGAGTGAGTCAATCACATACAGAATTTACAAAGAAGCAGGAAAGTGGACCATGAGAGTGTGTAGTGACTGTTCCTGACATGATAGAACCAGTCACTTAAGAAAAAAGCTTCAGGAAAGCCACCAATTTGGCTAACCTGAGTTATGTAGCTCCATGTGGCAAATATGGTGATAGTAGTACACCATGCAGGTGGCATCACGCGTGTGTGAAAATCAGCCTGGCTCCCTAACTACATCACTCATGTGCTAAGCATCTGTCCCACCAGGCCGGCCACTGTCACTACACTTCAGGTACAGACGGAATCACCATGAAGCATGCACTGAGTACTGCAGTTGTTGTGGTCTGTGTCTGGATGTCCCCCAAAGCCTCATGCAGTCACAGGGCGGGCTTCTAGTGTTTATGATCGATTCATGGTCCACTGCTGGGATTATGGTGTGAGTGCTGCACCCGCCCTGGGGCAGGCAGTCTGCACACAAGGGACGGAAAGAGCCTTGCTCTCTGTCACTCTCCTCCCTTTTGCTCTTGTTGCTTTTGCTGTCTTCCACTGCCATGAACTGTTGCCCGTGTCATATGCCACCCTGTCTTGGAGCCAGCGAAGTATGGACTGAAACCTCCACAGACTGTGAGCTAAATAAACTCTTCCTTCCCTAATTTGAGGTGTCAGGTATTTTCTCCTAGCAAGGAGAGAAAAGTAACCAAGACAGCAGTGAAGCAGCACTATTAATAAACAGAAAGTCTTTGAAGATATCAATATGTAATACAACAACCATTGTTAATTCCCTACCACTTTGTTTGTAACTCTGTATTGTCTGTACTGTGCTTGTGATATGTTGTAAAATGTATGTCTGTTAATGTTTCCCTCCTTTTATCTTTAAAATAAAAATAAATAAATAAATAAATAAAAAAACCAGAAAGCACTGAGAACGTTTAGTTAGGTATCATTGTAATCTGTTTGTGTGTAACAAGATGACATCACTCTCAAGGGTCAGCTGCTTTTACTGCTGTCCCTGACTCTCACACTGGACTTACCCAGGACATGGACTGAAATACTCCTTCTACACTCATTTCCAGCCCCGTTACCCAATCTCCTGGTACTGATGTTTCTCAGCAGAGCCCTGGGAGGCTGGCTCCCTACAGGGGGTTGTGAGCTCGAAGCCACTTCTGGGATACTCCAAGGAGTGATAGACCCATACGGAGGAGACTGAACGGCGGCCCATGGGTGGAACACCAGTGACAGGCAGGGACAGCAGCCCTGCTGGTGGCCATAGTATCCTCCACTGCCATGCAGTCTCAGAAAGGAGAAGTGAGTTGTGCTTAAGAATGTCCTTGAGGCTGGGTGTGGTGGTGCACACCTGTAATCCCAGCACTCGGGAGGCTGAGGCAAGAGGACTCTTGTGAGTTCGAGACCAGCCTGGGCTACAAAGTGAGCTCAAGGCCAGCCATAACTGCATACATAGTGAGACCCTGTCTCAAAAAAAAAAAAAAGAATGTCCTTGAAAGGGCAGTGAGGACACAGAGTGAGCTCCATCCGCACTCCTGATCACACACTTAGCGAACATGCTGAACAGCCAGAGGTCCTCAGACAGCAGGTGTGTGTCACCCCCAGGCAGGGGCCGTCTGCAGGGAGAGCGCTGTGACCGAGCTGCAAGCTGGTGACCTGTTTTTCAAGCTGGTGACCTATTTTTGCACACATTACTATCTTAATGTGAAAGGGTGACTCATAGCAACTACGGCTATCCAGGCTGGCAGGCATGTCACAGATGTGTCCTCGAGACTCAACGAAACAAACCTGTCATTTCTAAAGAAAAAGAAACTGACAGTATCCGTTGCCAATTACAAAATGTGAGCTTTAAGATGAACATCAGGATTCTGGAAAACCTATCTGCCGCAGGAGGCCTGACAGCTTCCCAACATTAGAAGCCGTTTCTGGTGAGGTGGGTGGGGATGTCAACAGACGTGAACTGTCCACACTGTGTCTACCGACAACACTGACAACATTTCCGGACCTGAGTAGCTCTGCGCTGGCACCTCCCGCACAGCGGACATGCAGGATGACCGCGCACGGACAGGCTGGGGGCTCACTCAAGGCGCAGGTCAGACCGACGCGCTTTCATGCGGTGCGCTACGGAGAGCTCACTGGTGTGTCAGATGACACTTCACACCTGCCCTTATGAAACGGCAGCTCAGTGCAAGTTTCACCCACAACCTGAGAAGGCGTGTGCGCGAGGCCCCACACTCTCTTCCAGTCTGCAACTCCCACCGCGGGCCCTGACTCCCAGTGTGCGGACAGAAGCGCCCACGGTTGCTTGGGCGTCACGGATGTCCGCAGACCCACACCCCACGTCCACACCCAGACCGAGGCACGGCACACAGCGAAAGCGCCAGCCGCTGGTGGGCTCTAAAGCGTGAGAAATGCACGGTGGACACCGATCTTTACGTGTCCCTCCCCTCCTAACTGCTTTTAACGCCGTCTTTCCCTCCACTCACGCTGCAAGGGACAGACCCATCACCACGAACACTAAAAATGCCCTGCTGACGCAGCCCGGCAGGAGGGCGCATGCTCAGCATGTACACAGCCCTCGTTCGGCACACGAGATGCTCGCACGCACACACACACACAATATGGACGTAAAAATGCCTAACTACAACCTCTGCCTATAACAGGACTAGAAAGGGAATCAAAAGCTATTGTCTGTGTACCTCAGGCACATTACTTCACTGCTCTAAACTTCAATTTCTTCATCTATGATTTTTTTTTTCATGTTTGTTCTGGGAACTGAACCCAGGGTCTTCACACTGAGCAACATTACAGGACCATTTTAAAATCATTTTATTTTGAAATTCAATCTTGTTAAGTTGCCACAGCTGGGCTTGAATGTGGATCCGCCTGCCTTAGCCTCTCAAAGTTCTGAGATTATAGGCATATACTACTAGGCCTGAGTTTTTTTTGTGGGGGTGTTTTTTGACACAGGGTCTTGCTATGTAGTCCAGGCTGGCCTTGAACTCACTATGTCGCCCTGGCTGGCCTTGAACCTGCGGTGCTCCTTCTGCCTCAGCCTCCCAGGTGCTGGGATTACAGGTGTGTGGCACCACATCCAGCTATGCCCAATTTATAAAGACAACTAAAAACAACTCAATAAGAGAGTACATTCTCCTCATCCTCTTGCCCTGAATCATTTGGGTATGATTTATAGTATTATTTTCACCAATCTATTTCTAAGACATCTATAAACTTTATCAACTGTAACTTAGCAAATAATGTCTAAAATATTTAGAACCTAACAGACCATATTCTTTGACATCCAGAGTTACCTGGTACTCATTTTAAAAGAGAAAGAAAAAAAGGTGAGACAAGCCAAAGTCAAAGATGTAACTATCTACTCTATGTATGTGTAAAACTTTCTGTATGTATCAGTCTTTGGGTTTTTGTTCTGATGTATTTATTTTGTGTGCAGGGGTTGAACTCACGATTGTGTGCATGCTAAGCACACGCTTTACCACTGAGCTACACGCTCCATTCCTATACATCAGGTTTTTTTTTTTAAGTCACAGCTGGGAATTGTGGCACATGCCTGTAATCCCGCCTACTGGGGAGGGTAAGGTAGGAGCACTGCAGTTCGAGGCCAGTCTGGGCAATTTAGGGAGGCCCTATCTCAAAATTCTAAAAATGGGATGAGAATGTAGCGCAGTCGGGGGACCGTGCCTGGGTTCAATCCCTAGTGCTGTTCCCACCTAAAACAGAAAGAGCATCACTTGTTTGGCTCTACAGCCTGCCCAGGAGGCCCCACAACTCTCTGACCCCAGATTTTACAGTAAAGCAGTTTATTTTTCCTGGAGACACAAAAGATAGATATGGACTTCTGACAAATGACAGTATACCTAGCACAGAGTTGATGGACATGAGGAAACCCGGGGTATTATATACTCAGGGAAACCATATTTTAACAACTTCTGTGAGAAACCAAGCAAGCGAGATGCCACTTTACGCGGCTACCTTAGACGTCAGTGCACACCTACCTCTCTGACTTCCACCAGGCGGTCCGGCGGTAAGTGGGCTCTTCTGCCCGAGGGCTGCAGCTTGGAGTGCCCCACGCTGAGGAAGGAGATGGCGTTCTGACTCGGCCTCCGCTGGGAAATGGGAGAATTCCCACTTGATGCAAGCGAGAAGCTCCTTGACTTCAAAGGAGGGTTATTCTGTTAGACGAAGAAAATAATTCCACTTAAAAGAAAGTGGGGCTCTCTAGCCATCAACCTACCATACACTTGAGGCTTGTTTTCAGTAACAACCAATTGAAAAAATTAACCTCAGAAGTGACTAAAGAATGTTTCTAAAGATAAAATATAAGCTATGCAAAGTCTAAGCACACATCCCAGAGAAAATTTGAAATCTTTCTTTTTTAGGTACCAGGAATCGAACTCAGGACCTTGTACTTGTCAGGTAGGTGCTTGTGCTGCTGAGCTATATCAGCTATATCCCCGGCCCGAATATTCCAAATCTATTTAGAAAATTAATACCCAGTTTTGCATTCTCAAAGAACTTTCTGTTTCTTATGTTAGAATACCCACATTATTCTAATTTCAGATTGTAGAACAAGATTAACACAAAAACTACTCCGCAATACGCAAACACGTAAAGAAACTCGACTGCACCTCTGAACAGAGTACCTGCGGACCACGGCCTGTGGCCACGTTCTGCAGCGCGAGGTGAAGCAGTGTCAGACTTCCCAAAGACCAGGCTGAAGCGCTAAATTACGACTTTGAAGAATTAGTGATGTGAAGCAGTAGGAAGAATTAAAAAAAAAAAAGTCACGCCTCCCTCTAGATGTGGAGTCCTATGCCATATATTCCCTTCAAACCTCTAATTCCAGATTTCAAATATATACTCTTCTTTCACCTTACAAAAATAAAAATACCCCAACGCAGGCACATGAAAGAGCAACCAATAAGCACAGGAAGGCCGCTCACTGGTCAGTCCTTAGGGAAAAGAACTCGAAATCACAGAGAGCCGATCCCCGCCCACCAGCCTGGCTCGAGTGCGGGCAGGTGCGGGCAGGGGTATGGGGCAACTGGAGCCCTTGCACACCGTCAGGGATGCGAAATGGTGTGGCTGCTTGGAAACGTTTATCAGTGCCTCAAAGTTACTCCGTCCCCCAGCAAGTCTACTCCCGGATCCACATTCTAGAGAACTGAAACACAGTGGGTGATCAAAACATACAGTGACTGTTTACATTTATTTCAGTAAACACTCTGCAAAAATCCCCTTCAAAATACTCCCCCATTTCCACATCAAACACATGTATCCCAGTCTCCCTCTATATTATCTCTCTGAGGTGTGATCAAAAATACGGTGACTGCTGCTGCTGAGCGCCATTGAACTGAAAGCAGGCTCATATAAACACACGATGCAGGGTCCTCGTGTCAGAATGACCACGAAAGGCCAATGTTTTGAATCCACTCATGATATCCAGGCAGCCAGGACAGCGCAACCAAAGACACCCAGGAAACGGGGTCCCAGCGCTGCTGCGGAGAGTGGTGAGAACGATGGGACGAGAGTGTTTGAAGCAAAGGGGAGAATCCTGAGGGGATTCCAGGCAGTGAGTCTTTTATTTTTTACTTATTTATTTATTTTTGTACTGGGAATTGAACTCATGACCTCACACTTGCCAGGCAGGCGCTTATGCCGCTGAGCTATATTCCCGGCCCCCCTGTGTCTTTTATTACAATCAATTTTGAAAATGTAAACATTCACTGTATTTTTCTTTCTTTTTGTTTGAGACAGAGTCTTGCTATGTAGTTCAGGTTGGTCTTGAACTCGCTAGGAGCCCAGACTGGCCCGTACTTGTGACAGTCCTCCTGCTTCACTGGGATTACAGGCTGGGATTACAGGCATGTGCCACACCTGGCTTCACTGTATTTTTCTATCACACCTTGCATCAAAAACACTTTAACAAACACACAGTAGTGTTATTCACATTACCTATAAAGTGGATACAACCCAAGTGTCCAATGATCTGGTTTATGGTAAACACAGGTGGTACATCTATACAAGGGAACATTATTTAGTCTTTAAAAAAAATACAGCTGGGTGCAGACACCTGTAATCCTACCACTTGGGAAGCTGAGGCAGGAGGATCACTGTGAATTCAAGGCCAGCCTGGGCTACAAAGTAAGTTCAAGGCTAGCCTGAACTGCACAGTGAGATCTTGTCTCAAAAAGACAAAAGACAAACAAACAAAAAGAATATAGTATTGCCAGGTGTGGTGGTGCACATCTATAATCCAAGCACTCGGGAGGCTGAGGCAGGAGGATCTTTGTGAGTTTGAGATCAGCCTGGGCTACAAAGTGAGCTCAGGGCCAGCCCGAACTGCATAGCAAGATCCTGTCTCAAAAAGAGCAGAAAAGAAAAACAATACAGTAATGCTACATGCAACAATACAGATGAATCTTAGAAAGGCTATACTAAGTGAGTTGAGTGTGGGGCTAGGGATATAGCTCAGTAGCGTAAGTGCCTGCCTGGCAAGTACAAGGTCCTGAGTTCGATGCCCGGTACCCAAGAAAACCCCCCAAAACCAAAACCAAAACAAAAAAACAAACACCAGCTCTTCAGTGAGTTCAGTGTGGTGGTGCAACCCTGTAATCCCAGCACTTCAGGAGGGAGGCTGAGGCAAGAGGATCACCAACTGCAGCCCAGCCTGGGCAACTCAGAACTAGTGAGACTCTGTCAAAATTTTTAAAAAGGGCTGGGAATGTAGCTAAATGTGAAGGTCCTCGGTTCAATCTCCAATACTGGAAAAAAATAATTTCTTTGTTGAGTGAAGAAAGCCAGACACGATAAACCATATTTTATGTGACTCCATCTGTACAGAAAATTCATGGAAATTGAAACAGACTGGCGCTGGCCCAGAGCCTGGGGAGGAGAATCAGTAATCAACAACGTGTGTGGTAAACAAAATGACCTGGAATATGGCGGCTGCCCCAACTGCACAACCTTGGGAATATACAAAAAACATGGGATTCTGTACTTTGAAAGACTGAATGTTACGCGGCGGAATAGCACCCTATTAAACCTGAAAATCCTCTTCCCCGGGCACCGACGCTGTACCCGCCTACCTTTCCAATGGCTTCAGTGTGGTGCTGCGTGCAGATCTGGAGCCGGCTGACCCAGTGCTGTCTCTCCTTGGCGTCTGTGGCTGAAAAGAAGCACACATTGCTCACGGTGACTCGGGTGCGACCGGCCGTCTACAGTGCAGAGAGCGGGTGGCTGGAGAGCAAAGCCTGGTCCCTCGCTCGAGAGGACCAATGTCCCCGGTGCAGCGCGGCGGGCAGAGGTCATGGTGCCCACCTTGCTGGGGACGTGGAGCAAAGGCTGAGATCTCACAGGGCAGACAGGCTGCATGGGGCGAGGCGAGGACGCGCACTGACGCGGCGTCTTCAGCTCCTCACCGTGACAGTGTGTATTTACAGCAGTAACTTTAAGGGTTTGAGTGCGGTATCATTGATAATTTCCGATCCGAGCACCATGGCCAACTCAGATTATCATTCTACTTTCTGCTGTTTCTTAGATGGAAACCACAAACTTCTACACAATTCACTGCATCCGCGTAGAAGTTATGTGGGCATTTTAATAAACCCCCACCACATACATGAGTCACTGAAAACTGCAAAGAGGGCACAGAAACGAAGACGCCTGGGCGAAAACATCCCCGGCAGACGCAGGAACGTGATTTGAAGCCTGACCCTGCCCAGGCCTGAGCGCTGGCCCGCTTCAGAAAAGTTGCGGGGAGCGGTCTTGTCCTCACAGATGTGTCCCCTGGGGGCCACCGGGCCTCTTTTGGGATGTGATAATAAAAGCTACTGGAAAGTAAAGGCAGTTTAGTTGCTCCTATCCATTACCTGCATTATGCACTTCATACTTGGCCCAAGAACAGCTCCTCTCCATTCAGTGCGGCCCCTGAGAGCCCGAGTGTCCACCCCACGGGGCTGCGGGCAGTGGTTCCCAGGCCCGGAGCTGCCGGGAGGGGGCTGTGAGGAGCTGGGGGGCGGCCAGGTCCCCCTAGCCCGCTCTCCCGCCTACCTCGGAGTTTATACTGCTCGCCGCTGGCTGCGTTCACGGTGAAGGTGTGGGAGTCCTCATCGCTGGGCGAGATGACGGCACCCGCCAGCTGCAGGGTCCCTCGGGGCTTCTGGTTCCTGGACTGCTCGTTCACGAAGTACTCCAGCAGGCCGGCCTCATTGTTCAGCACAAAAAACCTGCGGCGATTGCACGAGAGCTGTGACCTTTAAACACTTCCCCGGGCAACTAAAGCAAGAGAAATTCTCATCACTTAAAAAATATGGATCTTTCTTAGTAAGAAAATGTATTTCTAGCTGGGTGTGGTGGTACACCCCTATAATTAATCCCAGCACTTGGGAGGCTGAGGCAGGAGGACTACTGTGTTTGAGGTCAGCCTAGGCTACAAAGTGAGCTCAAGGCCAGCCTGTACTGCATAGCAAGGCCCTGTCTCAAAAAGACAGAAAAAAAGAAAATACAATTCTAGGCCAGAGATGTAGCTCAGCAGCACCAAAAACCATTTCAAGTAGTAGTACTTGGAAATACAACCCTGAATTTCCTAGCAGGAAAAAAATCACTGAAAAATTAATACACCGTCAACAGGCATGGGAGAGGTGCTTTCATGTTTGTTTGCAGTGCAGGAGCTAAGTCCCAAGGCCTATGTTCGAGGCAAGGCTGGACCGCTGGCCCAGGGAGAGGCACTTAGGTGGGAAGAGGTATGAAGGCACAAAAGGAAACAGCAATGCAGGTCTTACTCCTCCCTTCCTGTCTTCTTCTCTACCTTTACTCTTTTTTTTTTGGTACCAGGAATCGGACTCAGGACCTTGTACTCGCTAGGCAGGTACTTGTGCTGTTGAACTATATCCCTAGCTTTTTTTCTTTTTGAGATCGGGTCTCGCTATGTAGTTCAGAGTGGCTTCGAATTTAGTGATCCTCCTGCCTCAGCCTCTTGAGTGCTGGGATTACAGGCCTGCACCACCAAGCCCTGTGATGGAACATTCATTCAGAGGACAACTTCTCTCTAAAATTCATTAACACGGAGGACAAATCACAGAGGCAAATGGTAGTGAGAACTGTTATTCAAGATTCTCTGGGGAAAAAAATCAAACTCTGAGCTCTGAGGTTAACGCAGTGCTGGGTAGGAAATGGCTGTGGTCTAAGGTTTAAACAGTGAAACACACATGAGAATAATGCTGGGACAGGAGAACTTTGTGAATCTATCATTAAATAGGCCACAACTGAAGACTACTGATCCTGTTTAAAAATGAAAAGGCTGCAACTGGAGACTGGAGAAAACACAGGAACTTGAAACGATGAAATGCTGATCCTTTGGAAAAGAATTCGATGAAATACTGATGGGCTCTGGAAAAGAATCTGATGTTCTGATTTGGTCTTAGATGAACTACTTTAGGAACTAAATTAATTCAAATCCCAACTGAAGGAGCACAACAGTTCTTCTGGGGCGGGCGCTTTCTGAGAGGTTCGGGCACGGAGAAGGTGGGCCCCGCACGCTGGCCTGCTCGGCGCAGCCCCCACGAACAATTTGGTCCAGGTCAAGACCCTGGAGGACGGCGCCTCGCACCTTTTACTCAGGGACTGCGGGAGAGCTGAGGAGCACAGCAGCAGTAAAAGCACCTGAGTGGTGGAAGCAAAGGCTTCTGAGTTCTCAAACTGTTCACAGATTTGATGAAAATATAAATTAACTTAAAAATTTTGAGTGTTTTAAAACTTCAGTGTCATTCATTACTAGTGGGGCTCTGTCGTTCTGCCCAGCGGGCGGCCCAACACCTTTACTTTCTTCTTTTACGGTACTGAGGAGTCTTCACGCTGAGTTACATCCTCAGCACCTTCTAAAAATTTTTTTATTTGAAGTCAGTCTCACTGACTTGATAAGTTGCCCACACCGGGCTGGAATCTGGTATCCTCCTGCCTCAGCCTCCCAGAGTGCTGAGATTACAAGTATGTGCCACCATGCTCAGCTTCCAGCACATTTTCCCCATTTTTAGTAGCTGTTTATTTTCCCACAGATATGAAGGGATTCTTTGAATTAAAATAGCCATTGACATCATCTTAAATTTCTAAAACACTTAAGATCCATCCTTATGAGCCTTCCACGAAACACTCATCCAAAACACCATGAAAGGCTGTTAGCAAGAGAAGACTCTGAAGTCTATTAAAAGCTATTGTTACACACTTTAAATGGAACTGTACAGTACCCTGAGTTTTTCTCAATAAAACTATTAACCAAAACAGTGAGGGAACAAAAGAAAACACTCTTCTCACTGTTCAAATCAATACACAGAATTCAGTTTAAGAGCACAAGGAAAAGCAGTCACTTGAGCGTAGTCCAACGCTGCATGGAAACCTGCTGAGCGGCGCCTCCTTATCCCAAAGCACCACTGCACACTGCCAGCCTGGGGGCGCTGGCAGCCTGGGGGCGCTCCCAGGCGTGCAGAAAGTGCCTCCGGCAGGGGACCCGCACCGCGGCTTCCCAGCTCCCCAGGCGCCAGCCCTGCGCTGTCCTCCAGGACACAGGCCAAGCCAGCCTCACACAGAGAGACTCCGGGTTGGGACATGAGGCCACGCCTGTGTGGAGGCGGCAAAGCTGCCCACCCATTCTGGCAGGCTGGCCTGGCCGTGGGAGTAGAGAGACGGAGCGGCCGCTACGCTTGACGGCGAGGCTGAAGAACCGACGGGCATCTTCCCGCGCACACAACTCACTGAGTGGGCTCTGAGAGCCCCTGCGGGACTGGCATGTTGTTCCTTTTTTTTTTTTAAGCAATTTAGAAATCACGAAGACTACCAGCTGGGAGAAGTAGCTCATCTTTAGGACAGGTCCCCAACTTGAGTTCTGCAAGGCCAACTTTACCCTGACTCGGAAGTCAATCTCAGGATGGACCACAGCCATGGGTCTGGACGGGGGAGGACCACAGGCTCTGCGCTGACCGTCCGGGCTTTAGCCTCGCGCGTGCGCAGCTCGGCAGGCAGAAGGAGAACAAAGCCTAGTGCTCAGGAAAAAGCGACGTGAAAAGACCTTCTTTTCCTGGGAGGGTCTTCTCGTGGACTCAGGCTCGCCTGAGACTTGCAGCCCTCTTGCCTCCACCTCCCGAGTGCTGACCCTGCAGTGTGGGGCACCACACTCAGCCAAAATTCTTACAAGTTAATATTTTGCATTATCATTTGAACACAGAAGTATCCAAAACTTACATAAAAACTGAAATGGAAACAACATGAAAAGACTCTCTTGACATGACCTTTTTAGTTTTTAAATAAAACTGAGAATCTGCTGGGTGTGGTGGCACACACCTGTAAACTCTAGCACTCGGGAGGCTGAGGCAAGAGGATCACCGAGAGTTTGAGGCCAGAGGCCAGCCTGAACTGCATAGTGAGACCCTGTCTCAAAAAGAAAACAAACAAACAAACCCTAAAGAACTGCCCTATCGCTTCAGTAGGGTGATCCTCTGCTGAGTTTTCATACCCAGCTCGCACCTTTTGCAGGACTTCCAACAAGTCACCCTTACTCAATGCCCTAAGGCTGTAACAAACTAAATAAGACCCAAACTGCTTTTCTTAAAAAAAAAAAAAAGTCACATTTTCATTAATACTTCTTATTTCTACTTTTATTTAAAGTGTCTGAGCCATGCATGGTGGAGCACACTGGTAATCCCTGCACTTAGGAGGGTGAGGCAGGAGATCACCGTCTGAATTCAAGGCCAGTCTGGGCTACATAGTGAGACCCTGTCTCAAACTCCTGCCACACCAAAAATTAAGTGTCTGCAAACCACTCCTTCATGAATTACTCCTGTTTCCCAGTCGTTTAAGGTAGGAAGGCAAATTCACTTCCTGTTATTCTATCATGGCCAGAAGCAGAAGTCTCCAAATGACATGTTTTAGAATTAAAAACAGCATGACACAGAATACACAGCTTCATAAAAATAATTTGTCTATAAAAATAGACTTTGGAGCAGGTACAGCAGCTCACACCTATAATCCAACTACTCAGGATCCCAAATTTGAAGCCAGCTTGGGCAATTTAGCAACTTAGTAAGACTTTGTCTCAAACTATAAAAACCAATAAATAAAAAGGTCTGGGGACATAGCTCAGTGTTCCCTGGGCTTAACTTCCAGTACTGCAAAATGAAATGAAACAAAATAAAAAGGGGTAGGGATATAGCCTAGCGCTACACTGCTTACCCAGCGTGCATGAAGTCCATGTTTAATATCCGGTACAGAACAACAGTAACAAAAGTAAATGGAATCAGAATTATTTGGGTTCAAAGTCTAGTTATCTTTTTCTTTTGATACAGGGTCTCACTACGGAGTCCAGGCTGGCCTCATACTCATAATGTAGCCCACGCTGGCCTTGAACTTGTGGTGATCCTGCTGCCTCAGCCTCCTGAGTGCTGGGATTACAGGTGTGTGTGACCATACTCAGTTTCAAAGTCTAGGCTTAACAATTTAAAAGTTTAAAAAGCACAGTAAGAGAGCGCCTTACACTGTGAGGACAGCTATTACTGTAAAACAACAAAAGAAAAAGTCAGGAATGCTGCTGAGGACACGGTGAAATGGGAATCTGTGCACTGCTGGGGAGGGTGTGAGTGGCACAGCTGCTGCGGAAAACAGCATGTGGTCCCCTTAAAAAAAAAAGAAAAGAAATACAGCAGCCAGGCATGGTGGTGTGCACCTGTAGTCCTCCTCACTTGAGATGCTGAGGCAGGAAGATGCCTGGAGCCCAGGAGTCCACAGCCAGCCTGGGCAACAGGGGAAGAACCACTCTGTAATAAAAAAAATCAGCAAAACAGCACGGAAACACTGTACTGTATGCCACAGTGGCTCAATTCTGAGGACAGACAAAAAGAAAGCAGAGACTGAACAGATGCTGGTGCCCCAACATCACAGCAGCCTTGTCACGACAGCCAAAGGCAGGAGCACCCGAACTGCCCATCACAGATGCTCGGATACTCAAACCGTGCGACACACGCACACTGGAATGCACTCAGGCCTAGGAGGGAAAGCTCTGTACCGCGGAGGAGCCCTCATCACATCACTCAGTCCCCGAGGGCAGACAGCAGAGACTCAAGCGGAAGAGTCCATGCCAGGGGTGCAGGGGTGTGTGTGTGTGTGTGTGTGTATGATATAACGGGTGCAGTGTCAGTTTGAGAAGATGAAAATGTTTAGAGATGGATGCTGGGGATTGCTGTATAAAAATACGTACGTATTTGATGGCATTGAACCATATGCTTAGAATGGTTACAATGGCAATTCTTATGCATATTTTATCACAATAAAAAATTGGAAGTTTAACACACCTCTGCCATGCAAAAATCACTTCCACTAAGCATCGGGCTCTGGCGGCCCACTGACTGGCTGCGTGTGGCCTCAGGCTGGTCATCTAACCTCTCCCAGGCCCGAAGTGCTGTGAGAACCCAGCACAGCCCAACCTTCCCTGCACCCAACCTCAAGTGCGAGGCAGGAGAGCAGCCCCACGGCAGGGGTCCCGCCTCCTCCGCCTCCGAGAAATAGGAGAGAGGGGGTCAGCCTCGTCTCCAGCAGGCTTCCAAGCTGAGTCTGTCACAGCTCGCCCGTTACATCCGAGTGTACGTTACCAGCCCGGTTCTGTGGTGTGGCAGAGCTGAGGGGACCCAAGCAAGCACGCTTACCTGTACTGCCACCCGGTGACAAGGTTGGTGTACTTCATTAGGTAGCCGTACACGTTTTCCATGTGATCGCTGTGGCGAAAGAACAGAAAGAGGCAAACTCAGTGCAAAGAGGAAGCACAAACAAAGCCTCTCTCCTCTAAGCGGCGCGTCTCAGGGGTCTTGTCCCCGCAGTGGAGAGAGGACACAACCGGGAATCACCACACTCAGTTTATTGCTCAAAAATAACCAAAGAAGGGTCCGGTTTGAGTAACGTCTCCTCACTCTCCCATCAGAGGCCAAAGTGCTGTCCCTGAGTCCTTGGTTTCTGAAATACAGATCCTGGCTTGGGAGAGTGTGACAGCTCACTCCCACTGCCTGCCCAGGCAGATGTGACGCTACGGCCCTCGTCACCGGGAAAATCTCGTTTGGGGACTGCCCTGCACCAGCTTACGGTGCGACCACTGAGTTTATTACTTTTTTGCTGTGAGACAGGGCCTCACTTTGTAGCCCAGGTTGGCCTTGAACTCTTGGTGATTCTCCTGCCTCAGCCTCCCAAGCACTGGGATTACAGGTGTGCACCACGCCTGGCTCCTTTTCTTTTCTGTTTTTTTTTTTGACAGCACTGGTTGAACTCATCTTGCCATACGTTCTAACCCTCACAACTAGAAGAAAGGACTCTTGCCTGGGGTCCATATGCTTCCTAAATTTCAGGGCCGAGCAGCTTTCTGCAGCCATGGAAGTTCTTGGCCCCACGGGCCCTGCCTTGAGGTGACTCCCCAGCACGCCTGCGTTCCGGGTCCACTGTGCCCGCCCCCTCCCCTGCGGTCACCCACTCATTCTTCCTCTGTTCCGCCCTGCAGCTCTGAAATACTCATTTCCACTCCACTGACCCACAAAAGCCTCGAGCAGTGCATAACCTAAAGCAGGCATTTCTTCTGAGTGCCAACCCAGTCCCCAGCTGTCATTTTGGGAAGGCCGCCTTCATCCAGATTCCCCAGTGTTCCGCCCTAGCTAGCAGCGCAGTGAAAGCATCAGCTCCACCACAGTTCAAGTCCTCTGGTTCCAGGACTGCACGTATTCAAACGCGCGTGCTCTGTGGGGAGAAACCTCACTAACACCTTCAGTATGCTCTTTACACCTGAGAAAAACAAAGAAAACATATTTCATCTATATTTTAGCAATCAAAGAAAATGCATCTGTAATCCCAGCAATTGTGAAGCTGAGGCAGGAGGATCCCCAAGAGTTTGAGGCCAGCCTGGCCTACAGAGAATTCAAGGCCAGCCTGGAATACATGGTAAGACCCTGTCTCAAAAAAACCAACAACAAAAAACACAAAGAAAATGCACCAACTCCATTGTCTTTATTCATCACTACTCTCGTTTCACAATGTTTTTCCTTTTTCCTTTTTCTTTCTCTCTCTCTTTTTTTTTTTTTGT